GAATCGACTCGACCTTCGTGGGAAGGTTGTACTTTCCTTTTCTTTTCATCAATTGACGTCTTGTCGCTTGAGGAATGAGTCTCCGTTTTTCTATCATTTCGTGTTCTGCTTTTTGCTGGGTTTGACAAACTGTTGCTATACTGTGGTTGAGCAGTCATATTTGTGTACATTGCAGGTGTATGTTGCGGTACTTCATTTCTGTAGGTAGGTATATTCGGGGCAGAATAGTTGTATGGAGGTAATTGGTAATTAGGAGCAACAGGAGCAGCTGGAATTGTAGCAAGAGGAAACTGCACGTTAGGGGTTGGTGTCATTATTGGAGCTTGATTATAATAGCCAGGTGTAAGAGAAGCATGAGCTTGAGGATAAGGACCAGGAAGAGACGGGAACCTAGAAGATCCGGTCATTGGAGTGTAGTGAGATACTATAGGAGCAGTAACATAAGGTTGACTGTAAGCTGAAGTTGAATACGCAGGTACATATGGTGCAGAGCTGGCAGTTGAAAAGTTTGCCTGAGGTGGATACGGCTGAACTAAATGGCTTGAAGTTTGAACAGCTGAAGATACAATAACTTTTTCCAATTCTTTGGCTACATCTTTTTTAAGTTCGACGGTCTCTTTCTTGTATTTCTCTAACATTGAGTTATCAGTATGTGACACTGCTTTTAGAGCCAAGTTTTTCTCTTCATTTAGGTCTTTATATTTCGGAAGTGAGTTTTTCTCAACAATCTTATAACGGCCACTAATTCCATTGTTGTTGGTTAAGATGTTTATCATTGCTGCAGGTGTATGGACAGGCGTTACAACATGATAGAAGTTTCCTTTCTTGCCTTTCACAATACTGTATCTTATGTCATATTTCTTTTTAAAGTATTTAAACAGGAAATAGTATTCACATTTAGGTCCAAAAGTTATTTCTTCCAAGGTATCCTCATTATCAAATATTGATAGCATATTTTTCATAACCGCATATATCCACTTCACACATTTCTTATCCATTTTGGAGGGAATATCATTCAACATGTCGTCTGAAAGATCCTGACATTCCATTCCCGACATCTGCATGACCTTGGCCTGCTGCTCAATATCTGTGTTTGTGAAGCTTCCATCTGTATCGTACTCCTTTACAATCTGAGGATAATAAAGCAAGTTATACATGAACTTAATAGAATAGAAAGAAATTGTATCATCAGTGGATAAAATGAAAAAAGAAAGTATAAATATGGGATATAAATATCAAGTTCCACTGATAAAATTTTATAAAATCCCACATAGAAATTCGGACATCTCCACTGTTAAGTCTGATACTTAAAGTTTGTGTATGATATAATGGACATGTACAAGGATATTTCAATTATTCTGAAAAAAAATATGTTCAAGTACCTCAAGAACAGGATTAGTTTCATACAATCTATATAATACATCAGCACTGCATAAAGATTTAACTCTCAATCGTGTGGGGGCAGTGATTTCAGGTGATGATAACTCTTTCCCCTGGATGTAAATATGGAACCTGAAAATGTAATCAATATAGTTATTTGTCATGAGGAAATATAACAACATGTAATCAGGCTATAAGAATTATCAACCTTTATCTTTAAGGATCCTTGATCAATTGTATACTCCGACCCTTTCAGTTATAAATCCTTAATATTTCCTGATTTTCTCTCAGGTTTTCCTTCCAATCTTTTCATGTCGGAGTATATAGTCTGAAAAAAGAATTGTCCAAAAATTTCATGCTACCTCATTATCTTCATTGCTACTTAAATATGACTTACATATAATTTGAACCATGTTGAGTATAGTCCCATTCCATGAGGAATTTATTCTGGACACAACTATAATTTAAAATTTCAAAAGCATTTGAAAATCTGTTTTTCTTCCACAGTGCTGTCTCCATAATGACCAATTCACTTAAATCTCCATCACATGGATCACTTCCAAGCTTCTTCAAATTACTGTCTTTTTTACTAGTTTCACCTTGTTTATCATATGATAAAATATTCTTTAAGTTCAATTCCTCTGGATCCAGTTTCCGTTGATTCAATATAATATTCTGACCGGTTGTTGATTTCAGGAATGCATGAGCTTTACGGAAAGCATCATTTTTGGCATTATTTTTCGTAGTACCAGAACCAGTAGCAACAAGGTAATCATTTAAAAACATCTCACAACTAATAAGGACAATCTTATCAGCATTCAATTTCCCTGTCTTCTTGTATACACAAAATGGAGCCATTTTCAGCTCATTGGTCTTCTGAACAAGCATAGCCATTATATTGGTTTCTTCTGAATGTTCTTTGATATAATCTATTAGACTATTAAGATTGGCTTTGGTCTTTCGTAACAGCAAGGTCTCTGAAGCTTCTTCAGAAGCAGAATTAAACTTAATCAATCCTTCTTCCATTTCTTTAGAAGACAGTCCACACAGCAATTGTTCTGCAGAATATAGCATCAAACGTTTGTATGCCATCTCAAAGCACTGCTCTTTGGTTGGTTTCCTCTTCAAGTCTGCAGCAATTCCAAGCAGGGCACCAGCCAGGCTACATCTAGCTATACAGAACTTTTCCCCTGATTTGCTCAACGAGTACTCCATTTCTAGTCTCCATTGGTTAGTTGTCTTTGAAATGTGACCCGCATTATGAAGCTTGGTACTAATATTAGTGGGAGTAATCTTAGCATTCTTCAAACTATGTATAAATCGTTTTATTATATTAACAGGTGCATTACGTTCATCTGAAGCAGCACTCTCCAAATCCATTTTCAGCTGATCTCTCAGTTCATCCATTGTACGAGGCATGAGGCTTTTGATTTCTTCAAGGGTACATGTACGACACACTTTGATAGCTTTGGCAAAACAAGCAATCTTTACTTCTCTTTTGGTGCATCCAATAGCATCGGCAAAGAATTGGCCACCAACTGTCAACTTTCCACAATAGTATATGACATTTTGGACCCTGGTTAGTTCTTTAACAACATATTCTTTTTCCATATCTTTATCATTCCTAAATTCTTTTAAAGCTAGTTCTACAAGCTGCAAGAAATGACATGATTATTACATCTAACATTAACATAGGACAACATTTTAAGAAGATCCCATCTCATCCAAACTATGCCAGGTCAGCTGAGATAATACATTTGGATGTTTTATATTTTCTATTCATCTAACACCAGCTCCAGTGGACAAAAAAAGAAGGTCAAGGGAAGAAAAATTTCTAAATTCCTGCAAAAATATTCTTAAATCTTAAACCTAAAAACAGCAGCTGCAATGATTAATTGTATAACTGAAACAAAGGCAAGGTAACATAAAATATGCAGACTAGCAGAAATTACAGTGTTGTTAGTGGCTACACTATAATTTTCTATATTCTAAATAAGGCATAAATAGTTCAAATCTAAAAATTAATAATATCTCGTCAATTTACTGTCTGTCATTTAAATTGAGTTTCCTGCAAATCCATTTTAATTAATATTAATAACCCAAAAAATCAAGGACAATAATGTTTAACAAAATAACAAACTGCCAATTTCTTCATGCAGATATCATACAACTTTGGATAGTAACCAGTTTCATTTGAGCTGAGAAGCCTAATTTGATTTTTAATTTGTCAAGGACACTAACTCAAATCTATTCATTCGAAATATTAACCTTCCTGAGATATCAATATGCACACCAAGTTTCATCAAAATTGGATAAAGCTGTTGCCAAATTTGATGGGTTGATGGGAAGAAAACCACTAATTCTATAATTATCAAATTCAAACTAGACAAAGATCTCATCATCATAACCAAGTTTAATCATGATCAAAGACTCTATTGTGTCCACAAGGAATGTGGACTGACAGAGGATCAATCAGTTTAGCTAGGAGCTTGGGGACGAATTGATAGTCACAGACTCACAGAGCAAAATTGTCTTCATTGATTTTCAAAAACAATGGAGATTTTCATTTGATTATTAGCCTAATAATGCAGCTATAAAGTGAAAAGCCCCTATCCACTACACATAACTTACTGATATGTTACCAATACTTTTACAATAGTATTGAATGAAAAAACAGAATGCTTTCAACTTTTCTTCTTTGGACATTTTCTGGAATCTTAAGTCTTGTTCATTAAATAAGGATGGTATTCCAGACTTCACTTTGGTTTGATCTTGATCAGTAACATCTGCAATAAAGATAGCAAGGTAATATACGCCAACTGGCAGCTTTGATTTTGAATAAAAATAATTAGCAGTACAGTAACAATTACCAGTATGAAATATTCAACCTTCAGTCATACATTTCTTTTAAACTCTTTAGGGCGATACTGAATAATATTGAGTATGAGTTATTGCTCTTAGAGCTAAATTTGAAAGCGTTTTCAAGAACAAGGGCAACAACTCATACTAAATATTTTTCAATTCTTCTGATTTTCAATAGGGTTCATCCTTAAGTGATTACGAACATTCACACCAAGTTTCATCAAAATCCGTCAAGAATTGTGCCTTCTAGATTGATAACTAGCTAAACATTGAACGCGTTTTCAAGAGCAAGGGCAATAATTCATACTAAATATTTTTTGATTTTTCTGATTTGCAATAGGGTTCATCCTTGGGTGATTACGAACACTTATGCCAAGTTTTGTCAAAATCCGTCAAGAATTGTTCTTTTCTAGAGTGTTTACAAGCTATCTCTCAAAAAAATCATCACCAAATTCAATAGTGCACATCTTCATAATGATATTAACACACATACAAAAGATCAAAAGAATCTATAGAGAATTGTAGTCTGTAGAGGGAGCACGAGCCAATAAAGTAAAAAAAAAGTCACACTTACTACTTTTCTTTTGACTCCCTTTAGAACACTCAGCTTCATTTAGTTTTTGAAAAACTTTCTTCAGGGCTTCAAAGTAAGCATCATCAACATGCATTGAAATATCTATTGGCTTGCCACCTTTTGGAGCCAAATTATCACTGTCTGAAATATAAATCCCAATAAATACATAATCCCTGTGGATCCCAATAAATACATAATCCCTGTGGATCCCAATAAATACATAATCCCTGTGGATCCCAATAAATACACAAGATCTGTGGATCCCAATAAATACACAAGATCTGTGGATCCCAATAAATACACAAGATCTGTGGATCCCAATTCATACATAAGATCTGTGGATCCCAATAAATACAAAAAATCTGTGGATCCCAATTCATACACAAGATCTGTAGATCCAAATAAATACACAAGATCTGTGGATCCCAATAAATACACAAGATCTGTGGATTCCTATAAATACACAAGATCTGTTGAACTGTTTCTGGTTTCAGGGAGATTGGTTTGTTTTAGCCTTGAATTTGATCATACAGTCTTGTCTATTTGACTCCTCTTTGGAACTTACAAACTACAGAATAAAAATATCTGGTACAGCCATTTATTTACAGAATGAACAATTTCTGCAAGGTCAAAATTTTCTGGTGTTGGAATTTATATGATTAGCAATATGGCTCTTTTTGCAATGTACCATTTGTAGCCCTACAATAACTGAACAAACTTACCTTTACTCATCTGAATAGAATCTTCTCCAGTTGGCTCAGTTGGGTCATAGGCTTCACTTGTTTTGGTCTTTACACTCTCTGTGACCTTTTTATCACCTGCAGACTTTTTACTGTCTGCAGCTGAAGCTCCATCAATCTCCTTTTTCAACTGACTAATAGAATTTGTTGATTTCTTTACTGAATCATTGCTGCTGCTGTTTGTTTGTTCCTTGCCAAATTTGGATGATTTTGACGCACTTCTGGTAACAGGAGTTCTCTTTGAGTTAGACCCTTGTTTTTCATCTGAGTTTGCATTCCGCCCATGCTTTCCTTTTTCAGGGGTTATAGGTTCAGTATCTAAAGAAGAACCAAATGAACTCCTTTTGGAAGTTTCAGCCTTAGATAGATTCTTTTGAGATGAGGATGACCTCTTTTTAGTTGGACTATTAGCTTGACAAACATCATCAATACTCTTTCGATGTTGTTCTGGAGACTTTGCTCTGGCAGCTTGAGAAGCTGCAATGGCTTTTTCAAAAAATTCTAAAGGAGGAGTTTTTCTCTTGAAAGGAGCTGGTGATCTACTTCTGCTGTGCCACGACCAGGAACCACTTCTTGATCGGTTTCTCCTTTTACGATCCCTGGATCTAGAAGAACTTCTTGTCTTGCTCCTTCTCTTTCTGTCTCGTGATCTTCTGGAATAGGATCTTGACTGGGATTTATGCGAATACGGTGATTTATTTCTGCCCCTGGAATGATGAATTTCATCTGGGGACACACACTCTGTTGAATTGTAAAGAAGCCTATCGATCTCTTCTCTTCTTTGTAGAAATAATTTTAGATCTTCATCATTTGTGTCCGAGTCAGGATTCTTGGAACCTGATATAGCTGGATCACTATCATCAGATACTTCATCAAGCATCTCTTTTCTACGCTTACTTTTTACTGCCATTGGAGATGAAAGAATCGACCAAGGAGATTCCGAACTATCACATTCATCATATTGTTGAGAAGGAGCTTTTATATCCTCTAAACTGTCTGTATCATCAAAATCATCATACAAATCATTGATAGTCTTTTGCTTTACTGGTTGTTTTTTCTCTGACTCTTTTGAGTTTCTACTTCTGTTATCATCAGTCTTGATCTGAATATTCCACATTCTATTTAAAGAAAATTAAAATAAATCATCAATTCATTTCAATTAAAGGTACATTCCACTTTCTTTGTGCTCATATTTGTGAAAACTAAGCTTAATTGATAGAATTTTTGCCAAAATATCCTCAAATACAAATCTAGCTCAACATATCTTCAAATGCAAAACTTCAAACACAAAACTCTACTAACAAATGTTCAAAACAAATAGTTTGTTGTATTTGAGTTTTGTTTGACATTCTGCATTTGAAGATATGTTGAGCTAGATTTGTATTTGTAGATTTGTATTTGAGGATATTTTTGGCAAGAATTCTATTAATTTAATAATTGGAAAACCTATTGTTAATCGAAGAATTTTCAGTACAAATTATGATTTTTGTACAAAATGTTCATTTTCAATAACAAATGTTGAATTAAGGGTGCAAATTAAGATATAAGATATAAGAATTTAGAATTAAGAATTAAGAAATAGCAATGAAGAACATTGAATAAACATAGGCTAGCGAATACTCCCACCAGCATCTTGATAAAAAACTAAATGTGAACTGTAAAACAAACTCTATATCATAGTTTGATGCAATATCACATTTAGCTTGTATTTTCATATCTCTCTATTGAAACTACCTGGTTCTATATTAGGAGGCAGATAGCAAGTTTTCTTTCTAGAAGCTAAAACCAACTTTAGCATTGTTAAATTTAACACAAATTTTACTTGGTTTATTGTGTTGATCCTTTTCAATAAATGTCACAGTAAAATTATCGGATCATCACCAAATTCAATAGTGCACATCTTCATAATGATATTAACACACATACAAAAGATCAAAAGAATCCTTGGAGAATTGTAGCCTGTAGAGTAGACACAAGCAAAATAAGTGAAAAAAAAATGAACGCGATATCAGTTTTATCTGATATCTCTGAACAAAATTATCAGATCATCACCAAATTCAATAGTGCACAACTTCATAATGATATTGACACACATACAAAAGATCAAAATAATCCATGGAGAATTGTAGCCTGTAAAGGAGGCACAAGGTAAATGTGAACGGACAGACGGACCGACTGGGGCAACTACAATACACGCCCATACCGACGTGTGGGCCTATAAAAAACCATTCTGCCTTCCATAGATAAATTTCTCAATTATTCAATCAACAAAACAACACAAGTTTAGATGTTTATTTAGTAAAGTACACTTTGAAGACTTATAAAGTGATGAATTTTTTTGTCAAGAATGTTCTCTTCCAATTTAAATTGAAATCATGACCCGTGAGAACCTCCCCGACATCGGCTAACCGATTTATCATTTCAAAACTAGGTCAAACTGCTTAAATAACAATTTGTACTCTCCCTTTTTAATGAACCCTTTTAATACAAAAATAGCATACTTTAAAAATATCTTCAGGAATAATTTACGAAAATTTTGACAGTGAATACCTCTTACTAAAAATGCGAAATGTCCCTTTAACGGTTGAAAATTGTTTCAATACGAAAACTCCAATAAGGCCAATTTGGCAATTCCAGTTGCAGGGTGGCATTTGTTGTTCCAGGAAGGCTTGCATTTCCTGTCGTGCAAACAGTACTTATCTTATTAGAGAATAATTCATGGTGTCCCTAAACTTTTGAATTCAGAGGATAGCTACTTAAGAACATAACTACCTCTGTTTGAGAGCTGAAAAAATATCTTATGAAAAGACTTCAAGTGTAAATGGTTGACAGAGTATCGTATAACACTTTGAGTTCTTCGACCTATTCAACCAAAAACTTGCATAATAATACAGTATACAAGGTTTTTTGTTTTCATCCGCAGAAAAAGGAACATTGAACCTTGTATAATATAACATTTTACGAGGTTTTAAATCTGACTGTTTATATACCTGTTATTTATTTGGTGGTTTTTGGGTTATTCACTATCAAGCTAAGAAGGTTTTGATCAAAAGATCCGCGCTTTTACAAGCTTTCAAGCGGTGCCAAAATGACCAAATATGGCATATACGAGGTTTCAAGCGGTCACCCAGGATATATTCCAGTGAACGAAGTCACATGAAAAACTAGCGGATATCAGCAGAAAAATTCTATGGAACACAATGTGAGCCATATTCTTATGTTTCAATGACTTTTAGCAATAAATCACTCTTACGTTTTACTTTATCTTCCTTTTTCAGTCACTATTTTTTTTTAAATCATAGAAGGAATTTTCATTAGTTATAATGAAATATTATTTAAAATAAATACGAAGAAAAGTTAATTATAACACGGGGTATCCATCCAACGTGGTTTTGTTTTAAGGATCGAACATCGTACATGAAAATAGGTGTCGCATCTTGCAGCCGTTGTCGAGTTGGTTACTCATGAAATATGGGTCATAGTGAGGGATTCATGAAGAAAATCGAAACAACCTAATTTTAATTACTTTATAGATTATCTGAGGAAACATCTAAGACATAAACGAAATTTGGTGTTGAATCATTATATGCATGAATATAGGTTACACCACTGTACTGATATAACTATAAGGGTAAAGGACACTGATTACAAAGAACATAATCAACTTAAATTTGAGACTCTCAGTATGATTTTGGAATTGAATATAATTGATTGACTAAATTGCGATTCTGAAAAGTTGCAGACCATCATCGGTAGTTTACTCATTCGTCGGTAGTAAAAAGTCTAAGTAGCTTTTCCTTATTGTGTTACATTTGTAAGAGATGTTTACAATTCTCATCACAAAGATAGCTTGTTTTCATTGGTTTTGAATCTAAGAAGTGTCTTACACTTTAGAATCTGCACATCATCTAGTTAAAAATTCGTCAATTTATGATTTTGATGCATCTTGAGAGTCAAGTTGTCGCATGCTGCACAACTTCCGGTTCATATTTATGAAGAAAACATAACTCTTTTAAAATCAGACAACAAATATGTTTTCGAAGCTTTTACAGAGCCGTATATAGAGAGAGTCTGGCCAACTACGTCACAAGGCGCCATCTTGTTACCCTCTCTTAGCTACAAGGCGGCCGACGTTATCCCTCGTAAACGCTCTAGAATTTACAGTTTTTAACCGATTTTGATAAAATTTGGTATGTCTATACAAAAACACAAAAAGAAGACAAATTTTGAATTTTAGCACTTTCCAAATATTAACCACCGAAATATTAAACCTGTAATCTTCCATATTAAAATAGCTAGGGCCTAGCTGTATATTCTACAGCTATATGGAACAATAGGCTAATCACTAGTTATAGTTTATGCAACATATTTATAAGTAATATAATGTATAATATAATTCATATTGTTTTTGATCAATAGGCCCGTGTGCCTGACGAATGTCAAAACGGTGCATAAACTATAACCAATGATTTTTGTTACATAAAGCTTTAGAATATAGTGAAGTTAGTATAAAGGACCGAACTCCATCTTTGTCGAAGAAATTTAGTCATCATGAAAATTGCTCAAAGCAAGATGTGCACTATAAATCGTTATCAACAGAAACAGGCCCGTAACCAGACCAATGTGCCAAGGGGGGCGAATGCATTTGCACGGAGACTGAAATAGCTGATAGAGACTGATTTCAGCTTCGATTGAGAACTTGTTTGAATTTTGCAGTGGAGGGGGGAGGGGGGCGAAAATAATTCAAGGAAGCGCCGCACCCCACTCCCCACCCCTGTCTCTTTTACTTGTGGACCTGAACAGAAAA